TTTTTTCCTTGCACACTTTTGTTATGTTAGGAAAAAAAATTCTATATTAGATTTTTTTCTCATTTCAGATATTTAACTGTAACCAGTTCAGTTCGAAAAATTATTAAACTTCAATACAAGTATCAGCAAGCAAAAATGAAAAATAAATTCAATGAAAGTCAGCAAAATCGTAAAGGTCAAAATAAGAAAAAGAAAAATCGTCAATTACGAATAAAAAAGAAACAGGTGTCTAGCAAATTGCAATTTCAATTAGCAACTATGGATTCTAGTGAATATTTTCAAAATGTATCAACATCACAAGTATTACCAAAGAAAAAAATATTAAATCCTATGGATATGACAACTAGTTCTGATCCAACATTATTATTACCTGATTATTTAACAATATCAGACAGTAAATTTAAAGATTTGTTTTTACAGTCAACAACAAATAATATGAGTACTGATGCACTTATTGAATTATTAAACCAGACAGAAATATTATTATTTATTCGTGAACTTACACAATTGAGCAATAAATTTAATTATTCTCAATTACAACATGAACAATGGTCTTACTATTATAATCTTGGCATGACCGAAGGTATTTGGACCAACCGAGTATCGAAAAAAATGGCCGAAGCCAATTCAATGTGTTATACATATGGTCGATCCAAAAACTTAATCAAACAACGTCTTGCAAAATATAAGCTACAATGTGAAAAAAATCAAGAGACTATTAATCAATGTATGAAACAAGCACCACTCATTATTGATATGCAAACTATTACAACTATGATAAATAATTTAATCAATAAAGATCAATATGAATTACGATTTGAACTTGACCGAAGAAAAACAATGCTCCGACTAGATGCTGAAGAACACAAACTTGTTGAACAATTTTACCAATTGAAGCCAAGACAAACAGAGGTAGGTATACAGAAAGCTTACATAAATTTGCAAAATGTACTAATATTTAGATCAACTCAGCAAAAATTATCTGGAAAGCTATCAATGAACAACATAACATAATCGATGAAATTGTTATATTTAAGAAATGGCTCGAAGTTCACGCACAAATATCATCATATACATTTGAAGATGTTCAATTACCAAAAATAAATCATATCTTTATATCACTATTCTTTCAAGGTCAAACATCATCTGCCGAACATATTGCTGAACAAACAATAGCTAAAGCCGAACAAATGGTACAATACTACAGCAAAATAATAAACAATGAAAAAAATAAGTTACAATCTACCAGATTTCATCATAAAAATGTTCAACTGCTCGATCAAACCATTAACCTCATCAGCCAACGTGAACAAAATATGAAACAACGTCGTGACTATGATCTACGAGGAAAAGTCGCAAACATATGCAACCAAACTACTCTTACACAGACTGATATTCAACTCAATATGCAAAATAACTCAACTCCATAAAAATCCCGTTGTTTATATAACAGAATACTCTACCCCTATATAAACCTGTACATAGACTATATACATTAAAAAATAAAAAAAAAATTTACTAAATTGTCTTTTTCTTGAGTAATGATAAGTGTTACTCTAAATAAAATAAATTTGTTTTTGTGTTAGACGAATTGATCTCCTGTAATATATAGAATCTCACTGTCTTTTTCTTTTTTTGTTTTAGATTTATTATTTATATTTTCGATATTAAAGTAAACAATATATACCTTCATTTATCTTAAATGGCTTATCAAATCAATGACACAACCGAAACAAATAACATCTCATCTGATGACGAATTAGAAAAAGAAAGGCATTATGGGACAACTGAATTTCCATACAAGGACAATAGTATCAACGAAAATGATTGGTCTTCATCTGATGATAGTGATAATGATAATGATAATGACGATGACAAAGAAATAACTTACCATCATAAAGAAACATCAAGTGACAAGAATATTGATTGGAGTGATAGCTCTTATCTCGCTCATGATGACCGTTTACAATCTATGACTCGATTCGAACGTCGACAAGCATGTTATTACCAAGCGAAAATTCAACAAATTCGACAACAATTAAGAAATGAAAATCTTATTTTACGACCAATTTATAAAGATATTGGATATCATGTGGAGTCAAGCCACACTTTTTATGATAAAGTCAATGAATTTATGAATCAGACCAGTAGCTATTCATTCGTTTTTAGACTCAGTCGTTCATATCCGACTGCTAGTCAAAATCGTTTAGCTAAAATTGTTGAACGAGTTGAAACAACATTGAACAATTTATTACATTCCAAATCTATTACTGAAGCACAACATATGACTATGAAAATCGATCGATCTACAGTACGAATGCATTATTTAAACTTCGTATCAGACACACATAAAGTATGTATATCTTTCTTATGAATGTTTATCCTCTATTTTATCTTGTCATATAACCATATATATATAGGAAGGAATTCCAGTTCAACCAACCATGGTATGTAATAATGGACCAACTATAAGTATTAGTCGTTATCTTGGTCGTCTTCTTGGATTACTTTTCAATGATGCAACTTATTGTAAAAAATTTCATAAAGCTTATAATATTATACATGCTATGGAATTCTATCAGAAAAGTGGTCAACTTCGACCAACTACCTTATTTGCTTCATTTAATATTAATG